AATTTGTCAACAGTAAAAACCTGTGACTTGGGTAGGTTGCAGTAAGTTTCCCATGACAGAGAATATTCAAACTCACTCTGTCTGTTCACAGAGAATGTGAATGTTGTGCATGGTCTTCGTAGAAGACATTGTATTTTTGCCCAATGAATGGCAATAGTGTTGACTGAGCAGGATTAACTCCAGCCCCAACTCAAAGGTAGGACCTGAGGAACACAAGAAAGTAAGTATACTGCCATGGGCCACCCATTGTATCAAAGGATTCAACCACGGGCATTTAATCACACCCTGGTCTGTCAGGATAAGTCGTTACTTTGTCTACAAGGGAAGGGAAGGAAAGGGCATGTGATCTCAGGTGGTGCCATCTGAAGAAAGGAAAAATCACTGTTTTATGTTTGAGGGGCCAGAAGCTCTCATAATTTAGACAGCTGTAAGCTTAGGAATGGATTCAGCCATCTGGTTACCTTGCACGAACTAAGCCTGAGGATGCAACCAACATAAAGAAGAGGGTAGGTTTTGGAGAATCCTTGAGAAATGGAGCTGATCACCGCTTGAGTCTTGCTTACTCCCTGGACATCTCAGTTCTTTTAATCTATAAGTTGTCTGTATTGCATATGTCAGTTTAAGTTCAATTATCTGCTGAAATAATTTTGTGCATCTGACAAGGGGTTCATCTAGATGGCTTACAATGTCTCACCCAAATCTCCAAACAACTTGGGACCCCGTTTCTTTGTCTTCAAAAGTGGAGAAAAGGGTTTTAATATGTTAATTTTATTTAAATATTTATCAAGCTTTTTTTAAATAAAAAATCTACCAAGAATTTCAAAAATAAATCGAGTGCTTACAATGTGTTGATAGCAGTGCTAAGAACTTTGCAAATATTATTTTATTTAATTTTATAACAACTAAATGAGGTTGAGATTATAATCATCTCCTATTTCAAAGAAAATTAGGCTACTAGAAATTAATACATTTGCATTTCAGTCATATAATTAGTAAAAAAAGAACGAACTGGTATTCAAATATGATTTCATCTAGCTCTTATAATTTTCTTAGCCATTATATTTTGCTGCTTTAAATTAATTATGAATCAGGTGCTAGGTAAATGGGTGCTGGAAGTGCAACTCAGGGTAGTCCAACAAAATTTTTTTCAGAGTGTATTATGTACCAGGTAATATATACAATTGCAGAGGTGAGTCAAAGGGACTTGGAAGGGCGCGATCAGTATATTTCTATTTCCTCATCAGTGCCTTCATGGGCAGTCTGAACTATTTCTATCCTCTGTTATAGTGTGGAAGATTATGGTAAATTTCAGATCTAAGAACAGTCTAACTTTCAGGAATTAAACAGTCTAGACCATCTAAACTCATAGAATATACAACACCGAGAATGATTTCTAAGGTACACTCAAACTTGAGTGGATTGTAGTATGGCAATATTTGTTCATCATCTTTAATAAATGTACCACTCTCATAGGGGATGTTGATAAATGGAGGAGAGTATGCATATGTAGGAGCAGAGGGTATATGGGAAATCTCTGTACATCTTTCCCAATTTTGCTGCAAACCTAAAATTGCTCTAAAAAGTAAGTTCTTGACTAAAAAAATTTTTAAAATTTTGGAAATCTAGGCCAAGGATTTCTGTTTTCAACCATGTTGGAGTAATTATCTAGAACCTCGTCTCCCAACCTTAAATAACTAGAATTATCTTTCAGACAATGAATAAATCCTGTGCAGGACATGATGCTTAATAAAAGGGGGAAAAAATGAGGCGAGATTGGTGTTCTGACTGGAGGCAATTATTAGCAGGAAGGAGGAATCTAAATAGAATCCTGTAGTCTTACTGAGTTCAGAAGACCAAGGTCAGAGTTAGAGGATGCAAAAGCAGGTGAAATTCGCGTGACGGAGTTCCACAGAAAGAGGAAGTTACCCAGGAAGTGAGCTCAGGAACATTTTAAAGAGATTCCAATTAGTATTGGATAAGTATTACACCATGAATGTTATTTAAGTCAGGGTTAAACTATGGAAGCAGAATCAGCAGAAAAGAGATTTTATGTATATATATATATACATAAAATATATATATATACATATATATATACACACACACACACACACACACACACACACACACACACACACACACACACATATATATAATTATTATTATCACAAGGAATTGGCTTGTGGAATTGTGAGGGCTGATAAAATTAGGCAGAAGTGAGGCAACCAGTTAGGAAGAGGAGCCCATGGGTAGGCTGGAACCCTATGAGCTTGAGCTGAAGCTTGCATCCACAGCCAGGTGGTTAAGAAGGGAGACCCAGAGGAAAGGGAAAGCAATGCCAAGCCTTGCTGCTGCTTGGGGCCTCTCTCCTCAGTAAGAGCCTAGGTCTCTTTTGATGCCTTCTATATGATTAAGTAAACCCACCCAAGATAACTTTTTGATTAACTCAAAGTTAAATGTTATGATTTTAATTCCATCTGAAAAATTCCTTCACAGCAACACCGAGATGGCTTAATTGGTAAACTGGGAGATGTGTGCATGCTACAAAATGGCTGCTGTCTCTCCTGAAGCCCGTTCTAACTTGAAACACACTAGAGATGGAATCCTGAGGAGTCTTGTTTAGTCTAGACAACTTGGCACATCACAAAGTGATCACAGATGTGAAAAGTAAAACTTCAAAAGGCAAGAAAAGAAGCAGCAGAAAGTCATAAGCTGAGCAATTCCCTGAACTCACATCAGAAGGGGAAATATTTGAGTTCTACAAGCCAGAGTAGAAAAACTAAAAGGGTCAATCTCTGAATAAAAGGCTACTCTAGCCAGGTCCTAGCAAAGTTTCAAAACAGGATTAAAGAGATCAAACTGATCTGCTAGTAACCCAACTGCTTGCCAAAACAAACCTCAGCCATCCTTAAAGAAAGAAAACAAAATCCAGACATTCCACAACATAACGTCAAAATGTCTAACAAGTATTCAAAAATTAGTAGACATTCAAAGAGAAAAGAAAATGTTACCATGATGAAGAAAAATAGCAGTCAGGTTTTTTCTAAGTTAGTTTCTTTTTATTTGGAAACAACTATGGTCAACTTTTATTAATGTGGAAGTTGACTGATTAATGTTAAGAATCAAAGTGTAGAATAAAGCTGATAGCAAATATTGTGGTTTGCTTTTAGTTACATTTTGTTGTTGTTGTTGTTTTAGAATTTGTTTCCCTAAAACATTCACAGCAGAGGTATTAATTTCATTTGCCTACTTCACCTCTAGATATCACCAAAGAAACTGTTGGTAACTGTGATAACATAGAAATGAGAGAGATGATGGAATTAGCCAACAGTCACATTCGATGACCTCTACCAACACTCTGCCCCTTGTGATCAACTCTTAAGAATCATACACCCCCCTCTCTACCACTATGTGCCCTGAGTGGTCCCAGTAATAGGTTTTAACTAGCATGGAGGTGTCTTGTTTGGTCACTATCTGGCTGTACAGGAGGTAGAGACCCCAGCAGCAACAGACGCACATACCAGAGAAAATACAGATCAAGTTTATGATTCCCAAACTAACTAAAAAAAAAAAAAATTCCAACAAGAGCACCATGATTCAAGCCACTGATTTGGTAAGTCCCCTTGGGAGTTGAATCATTCAAGGCATTCACTTGTGTAGACTTGTGGTTTCATAAAGATGATACGTTAGCAGATTCATCGGGTATGAACATATACAACACTCTGGCTAATAGCATTGCTGTCTCCTTGCAAGACAGTAATAATGTCCAGGGTCATTCTATTTTGGAGGACAGATTTTCTCACTAGAGACATTTTAGCATTCAGTAAAGACATGCATTGCCCACTATCATTTAGGTCTGTTGGATAAATCTAGTAAGGGCTTCTGTGTGTGCTATAATGTCCTCTGGGCCAGTGGAGGGGTCAAATATGGCAACCAAATGATCCTATCAATGGAAAATAGAATATGCCTATCTGGCCTTGAGGAGAGAGAGGTTAGCAATTTTTGTTACCAAGTGATGGATTCTCTCCTGTGCCAAGGGAAAACTCAGGGTGCTGCAGCCCAACCCCCCAGATGGAAACCATAGCCAAAGATATGTGCCACACACTGCCGAGTCCCATTCAGGGCTGCCCAATAAATACCGGGGCAGCACAGCCAGTCAGTGCCAAGCCAGTGGCTAACCTTCAATGTGACAGAACGACTACACTGTTGCAGTGTTATCCATTGTGTATCCTCAGTGCAACTGGGTTGGTTCTGCTTAGAGTGATTTTTCTATTCCCAAAATACGGCTGCCTAGATGTTCAACTGTCCATAACCTAGGATAAGCCACCCCAAATCTCAGCATAGCACCCATGGCGCTAATGCTGGTGTTTTTAGAATCTTTCCAGCAGTTTGCACTGCCTGGGTCATTTGATTGAAAAGAGTATCTATGCCTAGTTTTTTTGTTTTTTTTCAGTCCTTTCCTGAACAGCTCTGGCGTGAGCACAGATTTCCTCTCCCATCCCTGAGATCTGCTCAGCCAGCATCTAAAAAGCACCACTGTGGATCTTTCCTGCTTTCCCTGCCTCCGTTGGGAAGCCCTGTGAGAGCTCAGCACAGGAGCTGAGGAGCACACTGACTCCCCAGGGTTATTGATGGTGTGTTGCACAGGCCAAGTTTCTGGATCAGTGTTGGTAAGATCAGATGATTAAGAGCACTAGTTCTGGATTGTTCTTCCTTAATGCCCTGCTCTAGGGCCTTCTGATCCCCTCCCTGGAGTGGTGGTGATACCTGCTAAACTCCTGATGAACTAGAGCGGGGCAGCTGCACACACATCTAAGAGTTAGATTAATTTCTTTGCCAGGTCTACAAAAGTCACTGTAAAAAGAAATCTCCATTAGATGCCCATCCCATGACCAGATACCACGGCAGTAGCAGACGTCTGACGTCAAAAAGGCAGATATTTAGTAGCAACTGGAATGGGAAATTCTCGTCTTTTTCTAAGAATTACATTTGTGGGGGTGGAGGGTGTATCTCAGTGGTAGAGCACGTGCTTATCATGCAGGGGGTCCTGGGTTCAATCCCCAGTGCCTTCATTAAAATAAATAAATAAACCTAATTACCTCCCCCAAAGCCAGCAAACAAACAAAATTATAATAATAATTTTGAAAAATTACACTTGTTACCTGATCCTTACATAGTTCTGTGGCTGTAGCTTTAGGAATTTGACCTTGTATGTACCACACGTGGTGGCTGAATGAGGTAGCACTGTCAGGAGTGAGGAGGTGGGCTGGGGGTGGAATATGCCAGATCAGAACCCCCACTTTCTCCCCTCTTTCAGTGATGCGTGTATAGTGTGTTTCGATAGGCTTTACTGGTTGATCGTTCAAATTCCTTAAAGCCTGGGATGATACTTCAGTCCACCCGGCCACAGCGGCTTCACCTGTTAATAATTTAATCTGCTGCTTCAATATTCCATTTTCCTTCCTACCAGCCCTGATGCTTTCAGGGTATAAGGAAGGTAGACTCTCCACTCAATGCCATGTTCTTTTGCTCAGTCTTGTACATCATGACCTTTGAAATGTAACACCAATTACTGTCTATTCAACAAGGGTGTCTGTACACGGTACTCGGCTTCTTCAAGCCCCCAAGGTGGCAGCTTGGTTTTTGTGGTGACAGGGAAAACTTTGTGTTAGGTCAGATGCAGAGTCTACATAAACCAAGTCTATTTAAAACCCTCCCTGAGCGAGGAAGGCTAATATAATCAACTTGCCAACACTTACTGGTCAGGAACTCTGGGGGATGGCTCCAGACTCCATTGGCAGTTGCCTTGGGCACCATTTAGAAGACACAGGACATGTTTTCACCATATTAAACAAGCCACTGCATTTCAAGGGCAATCTGGTATTGCTGGCGATGTACCATCCCACCTGGGCACTGCAGTGGCTGTGCTTTTCATGCACCCAACCTGCTGTCTCTGCTGGAGGGTCAGTTGCTAGGGCTCCTACCTGGGTTAGGGCATCAGCTTTCTGATTGCCAGAAATTAAAACTCTGGTTTTTAAAGTATATATGGAAATACAAAAAACCTAGGATGGTCAAATAATTTTGAAAAAGCAGAGCAAGTCTGGAGGACTTAAAACACCTGATTTCAAAACTTCTATAATGCTGCAATAACCAGGACTCTTTTGGTATCTGTATAAGAATAAACATATAGACAGATAGCTTACTAACTATATATATACATACATATATATGTATGTATATAGTTAATTTGTATATCACACAGTTGCCCAGGTGAGGAAAAGATAGTCTTTTTAACAAATGTGTTTAAAACAATATATATATTAATTTGAAACAAAAAGTAAAACTAGGCTTTTGTCTTTTGACACACACAGAAATTAACTTGAAACAGATCATAGAGCTAACTATAAAGTCTAAAACTATAAAACTTCTGGAAGAAATCCAAGAGAACATTTTTATAACTTTAGAATAGATTCAAATTGGAACCCCAAAAGCGTGAAACATAAAAGAAAGCTTGATTACTTGGACTCTATAAAATTAAAATATTCTTATTTTTGTAAGATATGGTTTAAAAAGTTGAAAAGACAAGCCACAGGCTAAAAAAAAAATTGTAATACATCTGTCTCACAAAGGATTTGTACCTAGAATATTACTGGATACTAGAACTTATAGCTCAATTATATTTAACCCAAGGCAAAAGTTATGAACATTTCCCAAAAGAAAATGAATTAATGACAATAAAAGTATTTAAAATGCTTAAAATCAATAGTCGACGGAGTAATGCAGAGTAAACCGACATGAAATGCCATGATTCATTTACTAAACTAGCTAATGTTAAAAACATGTACAATACCAAGTTTTGAAAAGGATTTGGAGCAAGTGGAAGTCTCATACATTTGCTGGTGGATTGTAAAGTGATACAACTTGGAAAATAGTTTCACAGTTTCCGACAAGTTAAACACATACACTTAGCATATAATCCAAAAATTGCAATCCTAGTTATTTACTCAGGAAAGTGAAAACTTGAGTTTACACAAAAATTTTACTGTTCACAGCAGCTCTATTCACAGGAGCCAAAAACTGGAAATAACCCAAATGTTCATCAGCAGGTGAATGGACAAATGATGATGTATCCATACAGTAGACTACAACTGAGAATTGAAGAGGGAAAAACTACAGATACATCAATAGCATGTATAAATCCCAAAAGAGAAACATGCTGAATGAATGAATGAAGCAAAACTCAAAAGCACATACTCCATCATCTTTTTTATTTGAAATTGAAAACAGATGAATCTATCGTGACAGAAAGTTTGTCAGTGGTTGCCTCAGGCCAGGAGTGGAACTGGGAATCGGACTGTGAAAAAATATGAGGGAACTTCTCCTTCCTCGAGGTGACTGTAATGGTGTATATTTTGGTTGCAGTAGTTACACAGGTGTATACATTTGTCAAAATTCATCAGAATGTGCATTTAAAAGTAGGTACTCTTTAATAAAATGTTTAGCACCATCTAGTTCTTCCTTTGCCCTCCCCAACTCCTGTGACTTTGTCTTCTAATCCCAAAATCCTCTAGGTTATGGTTAAAAAACTGAAAAGACAAGCCACAGGCTTAGGAAAAAAAAGATAAACCACATATACATTTGCTACTTCTTTTTAAATGCCAAGAGGCCAAGTAAATGGGCAAAATAAAAGCATGGCATGAGAAAAGATACTTTTTATCATGCCTGTCTTACACCAGGTACAATTCTAAATGGTACATTTTAAAATAATTTTATTTAAAAATGCCTCTCTAGTGTTCACTATACCCAAGACACTGTCCTAAGCCACTTTACACACATTAGTTTGTTTAATTCTCATAATCACCCTAGGAGTTGGGTAATACCAGCCCCACTTTACTGATAGGGAAACTGAGGACTTGCGGAGATGTGGTGGAATTGGGATTTAACCCCCAGGCCTTCTGGCTTCATCAGGATGCTTTCATCAAGAAGGAAAGCAAAAACACATTTTACTTAGGTCACACACCTTACATTTGACCAGCCAGAATTTGAACTAGGTTCTATTTGCCATCAATGTTATGATCTCTATTGTAGAACAATAAATATAGCAATCAGGTCAAACCAGTTAGCTACATGAGAAAACAGAGTACATCCTCAGTGTGATTTTAGCAAAAATCAGCATGTGTCGAATTCCAACTACACATGTGCTAGGTTTGCAGAGTACAGAAAAGAAAGTGAGTGGTTCTTCAATTTTCCCAGCAGTGAACGTGATGACTTACGTGTAGTAGATGTCCAATTCATGTTTCCTGCATGAACAAACGATTAATTTTAAAATTACCTCCCCTGAAGGCATTAGTAAATAAAGAGAATGAGGATCTAATCTTCCCTGGGCAGAGGCAGGGACAGAGGGTGCTTTAAGAGGGAGTGAGACTCAATCTGAAATTCAATGGATTAAACAAATGGCAAAAAAAAAAAGACAAGAACTAGAAGACCATTCCAGTGTATAAAGTAGTGTGCTTCCATTGTCGAATCATGCTTCGTTCAGGAATCTACTCGTGCTTAACAAATATTCCTGAAAGTAATGCCTTAAAACATTTTATTACTTGCCCTCATGATTCTTGGGGTTGACATGTGAGGTGTGAACTTTTTTTTTTTTTTTTTTGCTCCAGGTGCTGAGAATCAGGTGGATAGGCTGGTCCAATGGATACAGGGCATCTCTGGCACATTAGCAGAGATGACCAAATGCTAGACTCAGCCCAAATGTTGACCAAGAGCTTACATGATGGAAGTCTTGATTTGGGGTGGGAGGGTTGTCAAATTTCTTAGATGGCAGTCCAGGGTTAACAGAGTGAGCAATCCAAGAGACCTGGGACGAAACTGCTAAACTTCTTACAACCTACTTGGAATGTCCAACTTCCACTTCCTTCACATCCTATTAGTTGAATAAGTCACTTAGACCAACCTACGGGGAGTAGAATTTCACCCCATCCCTCAAAGAACTTGCAGCTGTCTTTAATTTACCACACTCTGGTAGCCCATTGAGCGTCCAATCACAATAGGTTTCAAATAACAAACCAACAAATGCTCCCTGCGCTAAAATTCTGTTTAAGAGTGAAGACTTAATACCATTCTGACAAACACCCTTGCAAATCCAAGCACAACCTTGAACGTAAATGCAACAAATCCTATCTCTTCACTTTGATGGATAAGGCAATTGCTAGATCATAATTAGGATAACAGTGAAGACAGTCAAAATAAAGGGATAGGTGAAAAATTCTGGTTCCCAGCTATTGAGGAGAAGGCACCCTCTGGATTTAGCCCTTACCACACGCAAGCCCAGATGCCGAGACGGGGATTTGATACAGGCAAGAAATTTGGCTGTACTGGTGTTTTTCTCCTGTTCGTAGACCAGGAGTGGAAACATGCCGTTCCGTTTACATGAGAAAGAGTGTTCGGAAATTTCCCCTCCTCCTTTGTCCCCTCATCTTTCCCCACCACCTCAAAATAAACCCCACTAAATTAAAGCCATATTTGCGGATCCTAAAAGGAAATTTCTCTTAGTAGCCAATAAATAGTCGTAGGTTTTGCTTCTTGTCCATGTGCAGTGTGCCCTGCTGAGCGGTTCACTTCATTTGGCATTGCTGGGAGACTGGTAATGAATTTCCCTGACAGATACATCCCTGGTCAGATCAGATCAGGGAAATGAGCTCTTCGAGATACAGGCTTGTACCGAATTATAACAGTATGTGTTCACTGACCCCAAATTGAAAGAATGTTTCATTCCAATACTCTGAAATGGAAACTGATAGTCTCTGTTGTTCTCATTGCTTAAACTGCACATTATTATGAAGGACTTTATTTTCAATTAACTTGAGTTGTAGCGTAACTTCCCATGAAAAAAATTAGATTAAATGTTCCATATTTTGTTAGGAGCACATTGGTTACCTGAAAGCAATTTATTTAAGGGTTCACAGACAGGAGAACAAGATCCTGAATTTAAGATGCACTAGCAGTAATTTCTCCCTCTCTCCTTCTTTCTCTCTCTCTGAAGACACACACACACATATACAAACACTTT